TTATATTAATATTGCTTCCAACCAGACAGCAGTAAAGAGTGTGGCCTAAGCACTCCCATTATCGCTTCACTTTATTTGTTTATGCACAAATTATATAGATTTATCATTGTTTGTGAAATATCAAACACACACACACTCTTTATTGGTTTAATAGTTTGGTTTTTGACAGGATTATTTATTTCAAATTATGCTCATACCAATGGAGCCAAGACCGTATTTTTTTTAAAAGAAGAAGAAAAGGGAGACCATTTAATTAAAGAATGGTTTTACGATCGAGATCCGTGATCCGTGCATGGACAATATTTACACAAATTTACTAAATTATACAGACTATGTATAATTTATCTTTATTAGTCCCAAATAAAAATTGATTAAAAAAGAAATTGGCGGTGTTGAAATATTGAATAGTGCGCTAATTTGGTGGTTGTATATCTGGTTAAAGTTGAAACTTGAAAGCGGACGACGAAGATGTTTAATTAAGATTGGAGAATGGCTCTTTATGATCGACGATGAATATAATAGCAGTACTATATCATTTAGTGGGTTTATTCTCAATAGCTGGCGCGCTTTAATTTCTACATGTAGCTGTTCCTTTTTATTTTTAAATTTATTACACGTATTTGTTTTTCTTGTATATAATTAATTAAATAAGTGTTTCTTTGAGCATCAACTTGTTTCTATCAACCCAATTTCACAAGTCGCAAAGTTGATTGAATGTGTCAAGTATCTTACATAAAATTAACGTTATTTATGACTAATAAAGTGTTGTAGGTTCATTTCCACTTCCATGCACTGATATACCCCCCCAAACTCTTCTTTCCTTCTTCCAAGCAGATTATATCTAGCATTACTGATTAATTCAAATTTTTCAAATCAGTTTAGGCCCCACTTTAAAGGGGGTAAAACTCTCCCAACTTAATTTTTTTTATCCACGAAAATCAACCTAAAAAAAAAATTTTTAGTGACAGTACTGAGTACTTTGTTATGAGTCCCACGTTAGGAAACTTTACAATAGGTGTTATGAGGTTTATGAATTCAAAAAACTCTTCCTCCTAACAGAGTAATCTTTTGGGATTAAACTCTTTTTTTTGTGCTTGTATTCATCACATACTCTCTCTTGCTACTCAATCCAACTTTTTTTTGGTAATATTTCTCAAAATTTTCCCTCACAACAAGAGATATAATTATCAATTTATAACTCATAACAAATAAATAAAACAGTAATAAAAGCACTATTCACATAACAGGCTATAAGGCATCTCTAGATGATATGTTGACAACAGAAAATCCTACCAACTCTAAACACAAGTTAGCGAAAATTTAAGATTTGTTAATTTATCAATAGTATGTGTATACTAAAACAATATAAATGGTTTGACAAATAGATTGAAGTTTTCGGAAAAACATTTGTGTTCATGTACTTGTTTTTTTGATCGAATATAACTGGACTGTCCCTTCTTGAAAACAACATTAGGATTAATAAATCAAGATCGATATTGCATTGTAAGTTCGTCACAAAACAAAGTTCTGGCGAAGAATTTTCAGCCATAAATGAAATAATTTAAATTAATTAATATGTGTAAATACTTGATTATATTTTTACCAGAGATCGATGGGTAAGGGAATAATGTGTTCAGCTGAATTTTTAAAAAAAATATTATGCCAATATTAAGAAACGTATGACAAATAAAACTATTGCTGAATATCACTGGAGAAAACATATAATCGATCGAACTTCATAAATCAAATGAATATTTTCATGCGAGTAATAATTTCAAAGTTGTCGATTAACTTGTGATCACTGATCAATCATCCAAAACGTTATTACATATGTGTGGTTCATCTTGATTGGTATGTACGATTATAGAACTTAATTAAATCCATAAGCAAATAATGAGACATTGTACGTTGTTCTAAAATAAATAAATAAAAGTTTGAATTCATAATCACTCTCAAGAATCAAGATGATGTATATAATTAGACGGCACAAGACGTGTTTAATTTCTGACCAGACACGTTCCACGGTTCTCGACTCATTAAACCAACACATAATTTAGCCTGGAGGATGATATTGTGAGAGTTGAAAATATGGGTCAGTTACGTACTTATATATATATATATATATATATATGGGGTGTTATTTCACTAATTATTCTTTCGCATATGTAATTGACTCGGGAGATGAAATATATATACAAGTAATGTCGTCTTGATCCTAAGTTTGAATTAAGTAATGGAATCTCAAATCAAATAATGACCAAGGAAAATGTGAACATCGTTGTTCAACGTCTGATGTGATTCTAATTTTATCCGTTTTTTTTTCTCTTGTTATATGCATTGTTTGTTGAATTTGATGAAAAAAATAAAAAATTAACAAGACAAAAATAATGAAAGAAAAAGACAAAAATGGGCAAGCTAAATTAAATGTATTGAGTCAGAATATATAGCAGTTAGTTACGAGTCACGGCTCTGTACAACGTAACTTTCTTAAATTTTTAAGGAAAATTTATGAGCAGAGGTTATTATTGTAATAATGTTTGTTTATTAGAATTATGTATATCTTCAAATTCTCCTTAAATCCATTCATGGCTAGAGTGACTTTTGTTCTTTTGGATTGGATAAGGGTCCCAATAATCGTTTTTCTTTCACATCTCACATTCAATACTCGTGTGTCGTGTCTCTTTCGCAAAACAACAACAGTAAAATTTTCCCAGTTCTCTTAAAAATATTCAAGCAAGAATTATAATTAAATTCTAAACAAGAGAAATAATTACTAAAAATTCTAATAACAATTTGAGTAGTTTGTAATGATAAGTTTTACACTAAAAAATAATAACATTTAAAAAAAATTTGTAATTTTTTTTTTTTAGGATCTCGTTATAATTCTCCCAATATTCAATAACTACCTAGGAAGCAATAGTAGAGAGTGGGAAAAAACAGAAAAAGAAAAAGACAGAAAGGGGTCCCACGCTGGGACTGCAACACGCTTGAAAATGCCTATTCATTGATTACGTGGCTGAGACAAGCCCACAAATTTTGACCCAAATCGGCCTTCCATTTACTTATCTAGCCCATGCAATTTGCAATATTACCACTTCACTCCCTCTCCCTTGTCACTGCTCTTGCGCTTAATTGTAGTCAGTGTCGCCATTTCTGTTCCTGCGTATATACTTCTATAACGATTACCTTCAAAAGTAGATTTAAACCTAAAAGCAGCACTGCTGGTCCAAAAAAAAAAAACCTAAAAGCAGCCCCCCAAAAAAAAATTTGTTAGCTATTTGGATTAATAGCATGCCTTGTGCACAATTTATGACTATAAAACCTAGTTAATTCATTTAGAAAGATTAACAAAGTTACTAAATTATTTTAAAGTATTTATATTTATCGTTTTTCTCTCAACTAATTTATCTCAATTATAAATTGGTATATAGTCCAATAATATACAGAAGTATTTTAAAAAGATTATATAATATATGCTATAATTAAATAATTTAATAAATTTTTTGATCTATTAAAATTAGTTAACAACTAAATCTTATATTTAGAGAGGCAGTTTTAAACTTAATGTGGTGGTTTTGTTCAGACGTTTCACGCCAAAGAGGGAACGCAATTGATAACATTTGCATGACCTGGTGGCGCACTATCCTCGTATCGTCGCCACTAAGTTGTCCCATTTTATCCTTAAAACTGATAACTTATGCTTATTTATCATCAAGTCCCCAGAGACCATCAGAAAATATATAAACCAGTTAATTAAAAGGATAAAAAAAAGTATCCAACTGTGAAAAGGAACTTGTATGTGTTGAAGCTCATCAAAAGAATGTCATATTCAGGAATATCGAGCCGTTACAGAATTTTGTTTAATTTAGGCAGGTTAGGAAGGAGCTCTCAAAGGGGTCCGGTTCCGCAGTAGTACCAATTGGGAAGGCTGGACGGTCCACAACAAACCGGCCATATCCGCATAATTTAAAGCTGGCGTTAAATTAAAACGTGACAGTACTTTTCTTCATTTTGCCATTTGGGACCCCCACGCTTCTCCCAATTTGCATTTTCTGTTACGCGTCTCTGCCTATAAAACGAATAACCACTCACTTTATTCAACCAACAGTGAATCCCCGACGCGTTTTATCCATCTCCTTTATATGCTCCCACATCATGTTTTCAATTATTATTTATTATTGCCAAAAAAAATAATTGATTATTTCATGCCCAAAAAAATGATTTTTGGAGCTCATAATTCAGCTATGATATATATGGAGTACCCTTTCATATTATTGCTCTGGTAATGACAAATTTTGAGGTAGTTTTATTTTTTTTAAAAAAATTAGTTTTGCCTATTACATGTCCGCATTTTAATTTCAAACCCTCACTCCGCTTACAAAAAAATTCATAACATTATCAAATTCACTATGCAATTTGATTTGATCATCGAAACATCGTTGACGAGTTCATTAGTTAGTCTCAGTCCTACCAAAATCTGCCATGCCACTTGAATATAAAGGTTAATGAATGCTTTATGCATACGATACACTATTTTTTTTTAAGGTAACTCCATAACATCAAACTCGAGAATTGAGTAGAGGATGATTTTTTTTTTTTTACCTCTCCAGTCCTAATTATAAGACTTTATTTTTAATCTACAAACGAGGTCTTATAATTAGGATAGGAGGTAGTATATAATTAACTTAACTATGGATGTAATAAATCATAATATTTGACCATGTGAAGAAAAAATAATTTAAAACTACTTAAATTAAAAGGTTATAGTTTTATCTGAAAAATTAAACATTCAATATTTCTTGTAGGCAGGAAAAAAAATTCAATATTTCTTAATATAAGAAATTATATGTCAATATGTTATTAATTAACTATGCATTTATTCTTTTTTATGCGAATGTTAAGGATATAGCTGGGGTCAAGTGGCGCTGTATGGTGGAAGGTAAGATAAGGAGAAAAAACTCTATATAAGCACTCGCCCCCTCAAGCTCTCACTCACACCATTCCATACAAACACCCTCCTTCACCACTTATTCTTATGGTCCCCAACTCTTCAACTTCTACTCTTGCTTAGCTTTCTGATCTTCTTCCTCCTCCCTCCCTCCCTCTGTTTCTTTCTCTGTCACGTTGCTTGAGCAATCTTATTAGCTCATCAACATGGCAGCTGAATTTGACACTGCCCAGAAAAGTAGAACTACCATAGCAGATTTTGATCCTCAAAAGAAACCTACCAGGAACAAGTATGCCTTCGCCTGTGCTATTTTGGCCTCCATGACTTCCATCTTGCTTGGTTACGGTCTGTCTCTTTCTTTTTACTTTCTATATTTCTCTTTCTTTTTCCTTTCTTTCTCTTATTGACCAGCTTTCTTGTCCAGTCTTTATCATAGTTATATATTATTTGATGTTCATTTATTACAATTACGACAGATATTGGAGTGATGAGCGGAGCTATTATTTACATTAAGAGAGACCTAAAAATCACGGACGTTCAAGTGGAAATCCTGGTGGGGATCATCAACCTGTACTCCCTCATAGGATCATGCCTCGCCGGAAGAACCTCCGACTGGATTGGCCGCCGTTACACCATCGTCCTCGCCGGATCTATCTTCTTCATCGGTGCCCTTCTCATGGGCTTCTCCATGAACTACGCCTTCCTCATGTTCGGCCGTTTCATCGCCGGCATTGGCATCGGCTACGCCCTCATGATCGCCCCCGTCTACACTGCCGAAGTCTCCCCAGCTTCCTCTCGTGGCTTCCTTACTTCCTTCCCTGAGGTCCCCCACCATAACTTCCTCTCTTTTTTACCTTTTAATTAAACAACGTCAATATACACCATTCAAGTACAACACCAGAATCTGAATCAGTGCCATTTTCGTCATGCTCTCTATATTTCAGGTTTTCATCAACGCTGGGATTTTGTTTGGATACATTTCTAACTACGCATTCTCGAAGCTATCGCTTCGGCTAGGATGGCGGCTCATGCTGGGAATCGGCGCCATTCCTTCCGTGTTGCTCGCACTGGGAGTGTTAGCCATGCCGGAGTCGCCTCGATGGCTAGTGATGAGGGGTCGGCTTGGCGAGGCACGTCGAGTCCTTGAGAGAACTTCAGATTCAGTGGAAGAGGCTCAGCTAAGGCTAGCCGACATCAAGGAAGCGGCGGGGATCCCCGAGAGTTGCAACGACGACGTCGTTCACGTGAACAGGCAAAACAAAGCCGGGGGAGGGGTATGGAAAGAGATGTTTATTTATCCTACACCCGCGGTCCGTCACATTGTTATCGCTGCCCTCGGCATACACTTCTTTCAACAAGCGTCTGGCATAGACGCCGTCGTTTTATACAGCCCCACAATCTTCCGAAAGGCCGGGATCAAATCGGATACCGAAGAGCTTCTGGCTACGGTAGCCGTTGGATTTACCAAGACGGTTTCCATATTGGTCGCCACGTTCTTGTTGGATCGGGTCGGGCGCCGCCCGTTGTTATTGAGCAGTGTTGCGGGTATGGTGCTCTCACTCGTTACTCTCGGGGCGTGCCTCACGGTCATTGATCATTCGGACACCAGAGTAATGTGGGCCATTGGATTAAGCATAGCCATGGTGATATCGTATGTGGCAACGTTCTCGATCGGAGCTGGTCCAATCACGTGGGTTTATAGCTCGGAGATCTTTCCGCTGAGGCTACGCGCTCAGGGTGCGTCCATGGGAGTCGTTGTTAATAGAGTGACAAGTGGCGTAATCTCAATGACTTTTCTCTCCTTATCCAACGGCATAACCATTGGTGGAGCCTTCTTATTGTTCGGAGGTATTGCGTTCGCTGGATGGATCTTCTTCTATACCTTGCTCCCGGAAACGCAGGGCAAAACCCTTGAAGAGATGGAAGGGTCTTTCGGTAAATTCAGCGCAAGGTCCACCGTGGCCAAAGGACCTAACGGTGGCAAAGATGGTAACGGCCACATCCAATTACAAAACAATAATCTCAATTAGACGTACGAAGGCGTGAAGTGTTTATTAAACTTACTAGAGATGCAATATTGCATTTTAGTACGTCTTCCCTCTTAATTTAGAGTAGATTTCCTATGTAGTAATAAATTCTGTAATGGGAAAACTCAAATATTTTCCTATTAATAATTTAAAAAGAAATATATAACTCAGCTCAAACTCCCTCCCATACATGAAATCGTGTGCTTCATTAAAATTAAAATTAACTCAAAATATGTACAAGAGAATATATAATATTTTTGTAATAGAATGCTCAAATATTTTCCTATTAGTAATTAAAAAAGAAATATATAATTCAGCTCAAACTCCCTCCAATACATGAAATCGTGTGCTTAATCAAAATTAAAATTAACTCAAAATATATATGTAAGAGAATATAATATTTTTATTATACGCACACTAGATAACTCTGGATATTTTGAATAAAAAGAAAAGATCACCCCTCTGTGGCCAATTATTGACGAAGATGAAATAGGTGATGGCTATTATATTGCTTTCCTTGGTTGTAATTTTTCCTTCACCCTCTTTATTATGACAAGAAATAATGTGTGGCTAAAAAGGAAATGGCCCACGCACGCATGGCCAAAATTAATTTGATTTTCCAGCAAGCAGGTTAAATGAAAATTGACCTTACATTCATCTTTCTCTTTCTTTAACATCAATTATTGTCTTTGCCTTCTTTAATATTCCATTATTCCCCTGAAAATCATACACAGTGCTGTGTAATGTGAGAACACAAGCCATGGCTAAAAATAATCCAACCCTGTCAAACTTTTATAAATAGTCAAGTTAATAACCCAAAGAAAAAAAAAGACAGGTAATAATTACAACTATTTGTCATTCGTATTCCAGCACGACAAAGTTTCTTCTATCGTTTATGTTTGTCCAACGGGAAAAAAAACATTATCTTATAAATCCAAAAGCATTTTTCGTGGACGTAAAACAATCCGATCAACTAGAACTTGAGGGAGAGCTTTCAAAATTATTATTATTCAACAAAATATATTGCTTTGATATTATTAATTATCAGTAGCATAAAAATTCTCAAATTAAAGATTAATGAGACCAGGACGATAAACATATGACCATTCAGCAGGACCGTAGCTGGCACATCTATACAATTTGAATCATCGTTGATTGTTATGAATTCTTCTTCTTCTCCCCCCCCCTCTCAAGTTTTTCCCCATGGAAATTTGCAGGACACTGATTTGATTTGTTGAAACACGAATCTCGCTGTGTGTCTGATGTATAGATGTTTATAGTAGCCTTCTAACATATTGTTGGCCAAATAAAAAAATTAATTAAACAGTGTTGTGTCATCTACGCACGTTTTGGACAATTAGTTAAATAGTAAAATTATATTATTAAAACAATAGTTTTGATTCAATATAATTCAAAATTAATTACATAGCCAGTATGGCATGATTTTTAAAGTGCGACTCACCAACTCACTTAGCATTATAGAACTTGTCTTCACCTTATGATGCTTTCAGACCATCAGAACGAGGCCATCCACGACTATTCTGAGACTGAAAAATAAGAGTTGCATAAGCTTTTAACGTAAGGGATTAACTAGGAAAATTAAAATAGAATTGGATTTGATATCAAGTTTGCTTTGCATTTGGGAATGTTTTGGGAATAACTCTGTGAGTCTATATATATATATCGTCCATGCTTTTGTATTATATGCTATATATGTTCTTAGTTTGAATGCATAACTCACAAAATTAAATTTCTGCCTCGAGCGGTTTTAATTAAACTAATGTTCTTTATTCTCAGATTTTCTTTCCATCATTTCCAGGTGGGCGAATTGTATGTAATCCACGAGGAGAATTCTCTGCAGTTCATCATATGTGTGAGTATTATTTACACAAAATTTAAATACTCTCTCGATTCGTAATATAAAATCTAATTAACTAATTTTAGTAGATCAAGAATATTAATTTGATTAGTTGATAACTTAATATGATATATTTTCTAAAACTATCCTAAATATTTTCCTTAATTTTCTTTTTTCTACTCCCACTTGATTGTTATATATTAAGAAAATATCAATATGATTAATTTGAAAAATATTGATAAACATGTGAAATACTCCTCTGGTCCTATTTATAAGACACTTCTAACATGTTTCACACAAATTAAGAAAAAACTTAAACTTCATTAACTCTCATTTAAAATCCAATGACTTTACAAATTTATCCATATTTAATATACATTATAACTTATATAAACCAAGTCAATATAACAATAAATGAAGGGTAAAATTATACATCCATGAACAAAATTTCTCTCGGTGCCCTATAAATAGAACCAAAAAAATACATTCTCTCTCTGCCCTATAAATAGGACTAGAGGAGTATATCTTATATATAGAACTAATATTAATTTTTTAATTAGATGGAGCGAAGGAGTATTAACAAATCTTTTTTAAAACAAAAAACAAAAAGAAAAGCAAAAAGTTAATGCCAGAGTGAGCCACTGGGGCGAAGAGAGAGGAACAAACTGAACGCAAAACTGTGTGAATATGGATGGGTTTTCAATGAGAGAAGCCCAAACACCTTTCATTTCAGGGGAGAGAGCCGACACGTCAAACTTGTGGACCAAATCGAATAAAAGGGGATCCAAATTCAAAATGCGTGATTTGTGTCTTGTTAGTATATTTTCGCTTTCATGTAACGCTTGTTCCTTTTTTTTTTTTTCCTTTCACACATATAACACATATAATTTTACTATAAGCTATATTAATATTTTTTTATTTCTTTGGCTAGAATATAAATCTTCTCATTTAACTTTATATAAAATTTCGGTTTGATATCTTAATTTTAAAAAGTATAATTTTAGTCTTTTAGTCTTAAAATCATTAACCTTAAATGACAAGTTTTTTTATAACAAATATAATTGCTTTGAAAATTAAACTTAACATGTTAGTATTTAAAATTTTTTTTATCAATATTTAAGATCTCAATATTAATATTTTTATTAACGGTTTTTGGGTTAAAAAAATAAAAATATATTTTTTTAAAGTTAAAAAACGCAATTAAAATCTTGTATAAAGTTAAAAAACTAAAAATATATTTTAACCGATGTTTTTCTAGACTTGCTGGTGTTACTGTATTAGTGGCATCTAAAGGTGGAAATAGGGCAAGATGATATTTTCATAATTATGATTTAAGACCTATATAGTTCCTAAAGTTTTCTCATAAATTCAGTAGTTCAACAATCCATTAAATTACTACCCACATGTATTGTCTTTCTCAAGTAAATCTTATCATGTGTGTTCATATGAAGCAGGTAAAAGACAGTGTCTTGGAAGTCAGAGAAGTGAGTGATAATTAAAGAGCTAAAATTCAAGAGTGGTGACGCGAACATTAAACATGCGTGGAAGCAAAAACCCCCGTGGCGGAAAAGTCTTCCAATATTGGTTCTGCGTTGTTCTGTTTTCATGGTGCGAAAGAAAGGGCTAGTCAATGTTACAATCTTAGACATGATAGGTGCAGTTTGTTTTGTATATGGTAGCGTAAACATGAGACTATTGAAATGAATTGATTAGTTAATTGCATTTAATTTTCAAAGATTTTTATTCAACGAATCTTTCAACATCCTTACATCACTCAACATTATATTGCCTTTTTACTACTAGCTCTGGTATTTAATATAATAATTATTTACGTTATATATTTGATCCTAAATTTTTTTTTTTTTTATTAGATCGTGGCTGAAGAAGTTTGGGATAGGTTTTTTAACAGTAAGCAGTCATAATTTGTTGGCTATATACGTGTATCAAAAAAAAAAATTTGTTGGCTATATACTGCACATGAACTACTCCCTCCCGGCTAAATACAAGAGATAATAAAGTATTTTGTTTTAGTCTTTTTGTTAATAAAAAGGTCAATTTTATAAAATAAAAAGAGACATACAACTAATTCCAGCGTTGAAGAAGTTGGGGGATGAGGAACTAATAAAACATCAGTTTTGTAAAAAGAGTAACTAAAAAAAGATTGAAACAACATGTTGATATCCTTTTTCAATATATCATTGAGATCAAAGTGGCTGAGTAGACCATTGAGCAAATTCTTCTTTTAAGAGACGACATTAATGTTATTCAAAGATGCCAAAAAAAAAGCCGGTGCAACTTTAGTAATCTAACGCAACATAAGGCTTAGGTGGGAGATGCCAAAAAAAAAAAACGAAGAAAAAGAAAATCAAAAGATTGTCATTTTACCGGCTTGAAGGTTTAAGTTTCGTCATAACCAAGGAAAATAATAGCAACACAAGAGGTATGCCTTTGAATTTTAACCTTTTTTAAGAAGATCGTCCAATCCTATGCAAAGTTAAGAAAGTTGCGAATATCGCAACAGGGCAAAGTGGAAGTTGGAGTTAGATTTGAAATATTAGTAATGCATAAAAAGCTCTGTCAGCTAAAAACTCCCGTGAGGTAGTTAAAAGAGCCTCGAAAATCTTGAATGATTTTTTCTCTTGATTACCGATGAAACCTATGTGAAGTGCAATATTCCGTTTAGTTCAGCTGAGATTTAGTAACACAATAACTCCCTCAGCATTATCATGTTGCCCTCAGAAAAAAGATGATGCAACTTTCTAGAAAGCCAAATAGAGAAATCTTAACTGGAAATATCTGGAGACCAAAGAAATAAAACACCAAACCAGATGGCTTGCATGTATAGACAAGAGCAGAAAAGATGGTATATTGTTTCATCAGCTTTGCAACTCAATACACAGCTAGTTTGAACATTTAAATGATGTTTTCTCAAAACCGCTCCAAAAGGTATGGCAGAATGTTGTAAAATTTAAATAAAAAGGAGTTGTTTATAAGGTAACTGAAGTTTTCATAGAAATTCCCCAAGTTTCAAAGGAATAACCCTTCTGGCTGTAACGCCTTACGAAGACAAAGCATAGTGCTATAAGATTTTAATATATTTTGTCTGTATAAATTTATAATTTCTTTTAAAATTATATATTTTTATTGGTTGTGTATATACATTAAAAAAATGTTTTCAACAATGGAAATAATCTTAACGGAAAATCACTTTGCAGGTATCTATATATTCTTCCTCACTTTTTACTTGGACACATGTATTTTTTTTTAATTAAGTGCTTTAATTATGTTTTGCATGAACAGGACAAAGTTACCGGGGCCAATAATACTAAGC